ATTAGCAGTCTTTTCTGGTATCATGCCTGGAATGAGTGATATAATTTACTAGCACATTGTGTCCTTTCCTATCTTCCAACACTAAGCCTCTTTGTGAGGAAATGGCAGGCTTGTTTAAAGATTACTAAAATGAAGTGGCTCCTTATCCATCTTTGCATATGATTTTTTTCTATTTTTCTCCAATAAAAAGCTCTTGTGTTCCTTTTCTCCTTGAAGCATCCTGGGCTACTTATGGTAATAGCTACCAAATCCCTTCATTATTGGCCTCTTTAATGTCTAGTTGCTTGGCCCTGTTCATGGAATTAGTACCAGGAAAGAAAGGTCTATCAGAAGTACCATGTCATGCTTTGGAATCTCCCTTCTTGTTCTGAACTTGCCTTGATGATGTTTCTGTATTATTATTAATTTGTTTTTCAGGAATTCCAGTAAGCACAAACTTCCCACAAATGTCAGGAGAGCATTCTCTGCTGTACTGACTTCATTTAATTTAAAACTTATTTGATATATACTAGGATTCATATTTTTGTTGATAGTACAGGTCACCAGGAATGTACAGTTTTGACTGTGCTGTCAGATTGGTGAGCCCAGGCTGGGATTCTGTGGGCTGTCCTTCTAGCAATCAAAGGCTGCATGAAGACAAGGGAATACAGCACTCCTGATTTCTGTTCATCAGCTGGAATCAGCGGCAACGCCTGCTTTACAACCCGAGGTTTATTTCCAGCAGTTATGGAGATTAGTTTTGAGGGGTATGGATGGTTTCCTGGGAAAACTCTGAAAAATAATATGTGTTTTAAGAGGCTGAGGACAAAAGTCAAGTGTTGTCGTCATTCATCCCCCCCCCCCCCCCCCCTTTTTTTTTTTGTTTTTCTTTTCTCTTCTCTCTCCTCAATGCCTTCATCTTCCCAGCTCCACCACGGCTGTTCAGACCTCTGATCTATATAGGTCGGTTTAATTTCTAATCCTTCTATTTAAAATACTACCCAGTGCCACCAGGAGGTGTCCGTGTGCTATTTATCGGTTACTTTCCATGGTGCTTGCATTTTTTTTAGTTACTTTGTTGAAGGGGGCTCCATAACAACACCACAGTGGTAGGAGCTTCTGTGGAATGTTTATTATTATACAGCATTGGAGTTTGTACTTCCAAACAAATAAGGATATCGTGTTTGTGCTTGGAGAGAGTACTTAGTTCTTTCCCCGGCAGAGGAAAATTATAGATGAAAAATACCTGTTAAGTCATCCTTTTTTTTTTTTTTTTTTTTTTTTTTTTTTTCCTTCCTTACAGCATACACTGTTCTCTGAAATATATTGTATAATGTATTGAGGATATCATTCTGTTGCTAGGGAAATGATGACTATAATGAGATGTTACACAGTCTACATTTTGACTGCATTGCAGGATCAAAGATGATGCTGTGGAAATGAAGATCTCTCAAGGAAACATGTAACATGTCATATCTGCATTTGTGTGCAACTTCTATGGTTAGTAAAAAGAGATGAATGTGTACAATATAAAGCTAAATATCACAGCATTGTTATGTTGCAGATCCCCATTTTTTCTGTGATATGTAACTGGAAAATATTTTATAATGTATTTTTGGTGTAAAAATGGAAATAAAATATGTAGAGAGGTGTAGAGTTACCTTTAGGACATTATAAATTACACCTACCTAAAGTAGAGCCAATATTTATCACCACATGAACATTTATGAACATACCTTAGAGTAAATCTGATTTCATTTGACCATCAGATAGGAAAAAAAAAAAAATGATAAAATATGATCAGCCCTGTGTATAATGTCGCCATAGCTTCCATAGCTTCAGATCTAGTTGACAGTCTCCCTGTTCGAGCCAGAAGTTATCATTCAGTGTGTTACTACAGTTGCAAGCACCACCTGCAGATGTGCGTGATGGGGATATGCAGGACTGACACTTTTTTAATGCCTGCACAGTCAGATTGGCTATTTCTGCTTTCTCTTGCATCTTGGAATTAACTTGGTTTGATAAAGTGCATTCTGTCTTTGCTGAGGAGAAATCAGCTAGTCTAAGAACGGTTTCCAAATACAATGGTTTGTTGTATGGGTCGTGGCCAAACTTCTTGTTTTATCTAATTATTTGTCAAATTTAATTTAGTGAAAAAGTTAACATTTCACTGAAAATTTGGATTTCAGGGTACCTGAATAAACCTGCAACTCTGCCACGCCACAAACCCTTTCCTTCCTGAATTTACCTATATTTTTGGTCCTTTCTATTTGTAACTGTAACACCTTTCCACCAAAAATGTATCATGGCTCATAAAGAAGTTGTTATTGGATGCCCATTAGAAAAGACAGACCCAGAAAGTTTCTGAGTAGGTCCTGACACCAATGAATGAGTCATAGATGTCCTGTTCGATAAAGAGAAATATTAAAGCAGAAGATAGGTATCATTACTGTACGAGCTTTCACAGTGTGTGTTCCTATATCAATAGCCAGTTAAATAACTGAACTGAGAAGAATGCAGACAGCAGAAATCGTTTTACAGGCAAATGAGTTGACTGAACTAGTAGAAAATGTGGTGAAACTCTAATGAAAATGAATGATAAAGCAGACTTGGTCAATACCTTGAGATACTTGCCATTTGTGGTCCCATGTGATAGCAGAACTCTGTTAAGACAAATGTATGGTTCTGCTGATGCACACAGTGTGATACTGAATTTCTTTGCCCAATTATTTGTATCCTCTTATAAATAAATAAATAAACAAATGAATAAAATGAAAGTAATGAAACAGACCTGTCAGCATGCTACATGATGATTGCTTTCTCCTTTGCTGCCTTGGAAGCCACAACCTGTTCATACTTAAAAATTGGCTCTGTGCATGTTTGCAATATCCATGTTTTAATGAACACAATGAGAGTTAATTTACTTTCTACTGCAACTCCAAAGATGTAGAATAAATCAACTCACCTGCAAATATACAGTGTTCAGGCAACACTAGTACTGATTGAATGGCATGTAGCTTTACTCCCCTGATACTGGTTTGCAGAGCTGTTCAAAATCAGATGTCCCTACAAATATCTCACTTCTGTCTCTCAGATGATAATGTCATTATTTGCTATAAATTACTTGACTTTTATTTCCCCTCTCATCCTTTTTTTTTCTTTTTATTCCATCTTAAAAATAGTGATTGATTTGTCAGGATATATATATATATAAATGAAAGCAGATTTAATCATTAACTGGTTAGTGACCTATACAATAGGTTTATTATTTAAAAGATACAAAACACTTTCTGCCTGCTAGTGAGAGAAGGATTTTTGCAAACATTTTTGTCTCAGACATTCTGGAAGCACTCAAGATGATCTGACTTGGTCAAGTCTGTATTGGGATGTCAGCTGTTATAGCTGTTACACTATACTCATGGACTAACACCAGAGAATTTCTTAATGGCAAATAGGATTTAATATGTATACTGATGCTACTTTGAAAAAACAAAAACAAAAAACCTGCAAACTAGACATCACCAGCATTGGTCTTTTTATATAACACTGAAGCATAATGCCTGAAAATACTAAGAGATTGTTTGCACATGCACACATAATGAGTTGACAAGGCTTTCCTGCATCCATCCTAAGAACTCAGCAGCTCCAATCCATAATGCAAACATCAATATAACAGGGTAGAGCATGAAGTTCTGCTACTTTCAGAAGACTGGGATGCTTCTTGACTTGTGCCAGCAAGAAGCTTTACTCTCTGCTTTTAAGATTCGTTCGCAATTTGTTAAATCAGAATTAGGCTTAGTCACATACTTAGGAATCGATTCAGTACCCTGCTATCCTCTTTGACCAGAATATTGTGTTTGACCATTATTTACTCTCAGCAAGATGTTAGCAGTACATAACATAAATGATAGGTACTAAACATCCATATGGGCCATCTCTGTCCTTAGCATTCAGCATAGTATTCTTTATCATGATAAAAGGTCAGAAAAGTCAGCCTGTGAGCCTGCAGAGAACAGTGAGAAGGTTCCTGCTACTTTAATTTCTATCATCTTCCTAGGTGTTAAAAGTTTCTGCCTTTCAGAGACTACCCTGCATTCTAAATTGTCCTGGAATCTCTCATTCTCTTTCATCAGAACCTGTTGATACTCATTTGTCTCCATGGCAAGAGCCTCAGAATTATGTCTGATTCTTTTCTAGTGTACGGCTGAAAATCTGGAGTTGGTTCTGATGTCAAAATGCCACCTAAAATTGAACACTTTCCCTGTTTGAGCTAGAAACCAGCACAGCATGACTTTCCACAGTGTGATAAAGGAAGCTCTTTTCTGCATTGGTTTCCACCTGTCTTACTATTATGAGATGTTGTCCTCCTAATATTGCTGGCCTGTCTTCCTGACTTCATGCTTCCTTCCTGGATCTTTTGCTTCTTTTGCGTTAAGAACTTAGTGCATTGATCAAATTAATAAAGAGAAGCATCCTTTCCACTACAAGACTTTAGTCAGTTAACTACACAGAAAATCCAATACAGTATTCCATATCCATCTATTTCTCAGGTATTATTTTACTTAAGGGAAGCAAAGAACAGAAAATTAACAGGGTACAATGAGAAGCAGAGAAAAACAAATGAACAAGTCAGGGCAAAAATACAGCAGTTTAACAGGAGTCTACTGCTGAGGTAAAAGCAAACTATCAAAGTTCAGCTTATATTCCTGTGCTCAGATTCGACCACAACTTCTATTCCTCTGTGAAAACATCATTGATGTTTCTAAAACATTAAATATAAACATTAAGCACACCTGGAGTTCTTCAGTGTTTAGGAGGAAGAGATACATGCAATGAAGTCACAGGTTAACCATTCTGGTACTCACTCCCTCCTGGACACCAGATAATTTCATTACCCATTTGCATGAAATTTAACTCCTCAGAAACTGCCACTCATACCAGGGCACATTTTTTCCACTTGAAACTTTAAAACTATGAAAGAAAAAAGTGACAAGGGAAATACCAGGGACAAGTAGCAGATATACTGGCTGATATTTATTTAATAATTGTTGTATAGAAGATCACAATGAATTTTTGGCTTAAAATTATAATTTGATGAAACCATTGTATCTGTTAATAAAAGTTTAAAGCCCACGAACACATTAAAGGCAGCAAATAGAAAAAAATGACAGTATCTCTGCCCAATTCTAGTTTTATGTCCACTATGTTTAAAGCAGATTTAGAAGGTAAAACCTCCAAGTATGGTTGCAAACATAGCCATAAAATTTACCACGGGCAACTATTTTTTTGGAGTGATGATTCTGTCAAGGGGAAGGAAACACTGAAAATATACACCTACAGAGACAGTGAAGTAAATAAACAAAAACCAACAACAATAATTAAACAACCACCCAAACAAACAAAAAAAACCTGTAAGGTGTATTCCATTAAACTGATAGTCCAGACCTAACTCGGCTGAGTTTATTTAGCTTTTGGACAGATTTTTCTAGCATAATTCTGGATTAAAGAAGCATTTCAACATTTTACCTATCATGAGAGCAGTAAAATACGCAGAAGTCAGATTGGAAGGTTTACTGAAAAAATAACTAACAAAGGGAAAATAACACAATCAAAGTCTGATTCTACCATTAACATCCCTGTTATGTGGTGCAATTACACTGCAATAGAGGTGTGACTATACTTGAACCAGTGCTATTGTAATTGCTTGAGTAGTAACAGTACTCAAGATACAGTAGCATGATTTGGAATGGACAAACTCCATATATAAACATTCAGGGGGCTCTGAAGGATGTTACTGTGCTGGTAAAATAAACATTCCTAGGATCTGTTCTCCAGCACTGAGAATAGACACCAAAGAACGATCTTTACCTACACTAACAAAGAGGACCTCCAAAGCAGAACGGTCACATGCTAACTACGTATCGAGAACCTTCTACAGTTTATGAACAGTCCCAAGCCCTGAAATTTTAGCTGGCATGGGTCAAATACATGCTAGTGAGCACTTTAATAATGCAGGGGCATAAACAATCAAATTCCAGTGGCTAAGAACATTCCTTAAAAACTTTACAGAGCTCTGTATTTGAACTGGTTCACATGAAGTTAGCCTACTGTTAGATGCTGCAGAAAAAACAAAGAGAATGAGCAGAATTCAACTGATAAAGGAAGCACTCATATACTTTTCAGGGAATGAGGAACATAAGTGGCCTTTTGCTCTACTAAAATTAACAGTGTTATTTTCCATCATAAAGAGATGCATCAAAAAATAGTGAAGGCCTCCATATTTGCTTTAAACACAAAGGAAAACAAGAAGAGAAACAGAAGGAATAAGTAAGTGGAAAGCAGAGAGGAAAACCTGAAATGTATTTTATTTCACAACAGAAAAGACTTAGGAAGAAGAGAAAGAAAAGCATGTAAGGAAAATGAGGAAAAAACAACACTTTAACTTACTGTATTACTTATTCCATTATTAACTTTTTCCATGAAAATTTATTGACGGTGTTTCATGTATATAAAACCCCAGGATCTTATTTCCTTCTGGTGTTAGTGTTAGATTGATGCTAACCAGCAATCCAGGACAAAAGGACGACCAGTTCTTTTCTCTGATCAGGTTGAAGACCTGATTCAGGAGCAAGGTAGAGTTGGGCGGAATCAGTAATAATGTGTTAACTTTGAAAGGAACACCAGGAGAAACAAATGAATAAATAGTTCAAGGGTAACAATATTTTCAAAGCAAATGGACAACTTCTGTTACCAAGAATATAGGGCACTTGACAGCTAATAAGACAGCAAGGCATTCAGCTTCCAAACTTTAAGAGGTGAGAATTAATATTACACTAATGAACCACAAGCATACTGCTTGGTTGTTTTTTTATTAACATTAATAAATGAGCTCATAATACTGATCAGAAGTGTTTTGTTTTTTTTTCTCCACACATCTCACAAAAGAATTTCATGTGACAAATACTATGATACATATGGTAGAAACAAATAACTGTGGCCACAAATATGTTTTGTTAACTGATGATTAATATATTCAGGAAGCAATCACACTATTCATTAGTAAAAGTTTACAAACATTAAAAAGTGCATAACATTTGAAACCAACAACAACACAAAAATATATATAATATATATATAATTATATATAAAGAAAGTGACATCACCTCCCGTTAATAAAAAGAAAAAAATTCTTCTGACTTTGCGATTGGTGCTTATGTGATTGCCATGGTTTACTAGTCAGTCACTCTCTTTTCTCACCTCAGTCACACACAAGTATAACTTCCCCATTTTGCAGAGTTCAGCCTCATGTATGGCCTTGTCTGCTGGGGCAGGGGTAGGAAGGAAACCAATCAGCATAGCTATGGCAGAATACGTTATTAATTTATAGGTTATTAATTTATAGGTTTTAAGTAGTCCCCTGGATGGACAAGCTAACCTGGTATTTCAATAAACGTCCAGTTCAGACTGCCATTTTGGAATAGCTGAAATAGGAAAAATCTAGTATTTTGGGTGCTAGCTTCCAACTCTTTCAACGTCCTTTTCCACAACCTGACCAAAAGGCTGCTGGGGCAGCTTCTAGCTCTTGGCTGTGCCTGGTACATCAGTAACAGGCTAGTGATTGTGCAATCTCAACAGCCTGATCAACTGAGGCATAGCCAAGGAGTAGAAATAGGTAGTTCCCCTAGCTGGATCTGGTTGAGGATCCACTACTTGGACTATCCTGCAATCTAAAACTCATTCCAAAATAGATAATTGGCCATAACCTATGCCACTTATTTTCCCATGTGTATACAAGGACCATCTGTAACAATGTGAACCAGAAAAATCTCTAGCACCATGGAATTTGTTTGAATTTTAACCCATATAAGGTTATAAATGTATTCTTAAAACTACCATTACAATAAAATACTTGGACTAACATTTTAAAAAAATAGCTTGGAGAAAGATTAAGAAATTGGGAGTAAAATTAGAAAACGGGGAAGAATAACATCAAAGATTCAGTTTGAGTCTCTGATATGCAACTAACTACAGGCAAGTGGCAAAAATGTACCAAGGACACAAAACACACCGAAGTATTCACATTAATGAATCGTTTTGAAGGCTCATCTAGTAACAAATTAGAGTGTTGCTGAGTCATTTAGGTTTAGGCATAATCAATTTAGCGGTTGACGTTTTAAATCTATCATGTGCACATCACCACATTATGCAAAAAAAACAGCCCTTTCAAAACGCGTGGTAGAAAAATTCACAGTAACAGAAATATTCTTCATAAGCAGTTGAGAAGGGGCAGTGTGGAGCATCTAAGTCGTACAATACAAAAACCATTGTAAATAACAGAGCTGTAAAACAGACGCAAAGTTCTAAAAACAGTGCTTTCTTTACAGTTCTTTTAATGGGTGAACACTTTGGCCAGAGAATTTTAAACTCTGAGGATCACACAAGCCTTTGCTTAAGATACACAATTAGATCCTCTGACGTTTCAAAGGCCATTTGCTACAAGATTTACCTGTTTGTTCTACTTTCTAAAAGTGTTCCCATCAAGTAGTCATTATGAAGGGATCCATCTGATGACACTATCCCAAAAATCAATACATGTTCAACCATTGCTAATGACAGAGGTAGAGAAAATTCTGTCTTCTGCCACAGCTTGTACCCCCATTTTTAGCATTGTGTTGACTGGGTTCCAGCAGTGAAGACACATGCACTTGCTTTTCCACCAGCTTGCTCATGGAAACAAATTTGTTCCAGCATGCTCTTGTAGCCTGAAAACATCCAGCAGTTGCTCCAGTCGGTCAAAGTCGGATGTCAGCTTTCTTGCTTTGCTGCCTCCCCTTGGGCCTCCCCCGTTTGCTCACTTGGATTTCGTTGTGCATCTCCTTCTCCTTCTAAAAGATACAACAAAAGGATGAGTGATTCACCCTAGAACAGAGAGATCTTGCTTCCAGAACCCCAACTGTTCTTCCACCAGTCTCAAAACAAAGTAAATCGACTGAAACAAAACAAAAATCTTGCATTGAATATAAAACCTTTTACTGCTACAATACTCATACTATGACTTCAAATACAAATCCCTAGCTCCATCAGCCGCTATCCTACACCTAAAGTGGTTATAAACGAAAGAAGTTAAAATATTTGTATATTTTTGACGATTTATTTACTGTGGCACTATGACAATAGAAAAGCCTCCTGACACCAAGTTTGAATAGAGTTTACTAAAAAGAGGTACAGCTTCAATAGGCGAAGTAGTTTGCTAAAGCTCTGTTCATCCTTTGCCTTTGTTTACAGTGCCATGCCCCAATGCTTTCAGCCCAGCTGTCTCACTGCAAACCACAGAACGATCTGAGGAATAGAAAACATCTCACAATGACACAGTAAGCAGACAACTCAAGCCTGTCTACAGAAAGCTAATCGGTGCCTTGACAATGGTCTGTAAATACCTACATGCAAAGTACTGTATTGTACTCTATCTTCTGCCTAATGATTAAGACCTAGCAGGTCCAGATGGCTGAAAGCTATGTACTAATATGCCACAGATCTCTGAATGCTACAATAATTAGGTATCAATACATAACAGTAAAGAAATAATTTTAAGATTTAGATGTACCCTGTATCTTGGAGGAATTCTGAATCATTTGCATTGATCTGGCTTAGCACAATAGTTAAGAGAAGACAGTTCCAAGGACAAAGTTGTAAAGAGGTCAAAGAAGAGGCAGTATTCCTCTTAATTTTTAAGTCTCTACCTTTTTTCATAGGTTACTCCACTATTCAAACCCAGGTCTTTAGAATAAGGGCAGGATTCTCAACAAAGATATTTATCATTTCCTCATTTTAAATTAAACTGTGCCTCTACAACCTTATTTCTGTGTATAGAAACAAACCCTCTAAATACCTTCTCCTTTTTACACAGAAGAAATAGGATATTGGTAATGGAAAAGAGAACACTGCAAAACACTCAGACTTGGTAACTCTGTTTTGAGAATGGACTGAATACTTATGCTGTAAACTGCCTCTGAAGTTATTGGTAATTACTGAATTCAATCTGATGAGAAGTTGTATTGAAGGTTGATTAACCCACTAAAACAGTGATGTTTGTTCTGTTTGCTGAGGGTTAAGTTATAAATAACAATTTGCTTCGCAATCCATGTTCTCAGAAACCTCTCCTTATTTCTCCTTGTCTCCCACATTGCAGAGGTTTCCAATAGGATTGATCTACACACTGCGATTTCCTATTGGATAGAAACCCCTTTTGCCCAAGTTGTCCAAGTACTTTCTACGAAGCCTCTTATACTTGTTCTGATACTATAAAAGAACAGATGAGTGGAATTTCATTTTTTGATTCCTGTTTGCCTGCTCTATACTCTATTGATACTGACAACTACGGAGTTTTGAATACCCCTCATACTATCCAGGCAACTCAAGCTTTCCTGAAAGGACTTTTATTTAAAAGCAAAACAAAAATACAAACAACAACTCAAGAGAAAACTACTTGCATGTATTTGTGTTTAAAAGAAAAATCATCCTGGACACAAAGTCTAGATATTTCACTACCTAAACATTAAATGTAGTGCACAAAAAATTAAAGAAAGCACTAGGATTTTAATCTGCCAGTTCTTCAAATTTACCTCTCACAAGTGAGCTCTTACAAACTCACTGAAAAACTCACAAGTCTACATCTATTTAATCTACAATACACTTTCTTGGTACTACAAAGTTTGTTTTCTGCTGACAGAGTTCCCTTGCTAAAAAACTTAAAATAGGCTTGGAAAATCCAGAAATCGACGAAGCACATTCTGGAACTATTCTTCCTTCAAAACATGATTGCTGTAAGCTCTTAGAAGTAAGAGTTGTGATTTTAATGCAGCATTTTGATTGCAACAGGTATTATTAAAACAAAATCAAATCATGCCAAATAATAAAATATTTTTAAGCCATAATACAGTTGTGAGAGTTGGTTAGCTAGCAACAGTTATTAGTTCTGTTAATGTCCAGCTTTTTTTTTTTTTCTTCTCTCAGGTTACACTTCAAACATTTCTACCATGATCTAAAATCACTTTTAATGACAAACTTCTACAATCAGTCCTTCATTCCAGTGTGGTACTGTAACACCTCCACTATCCCCATTTTATGTAGATGGCTGGACCATCACAGCTCTTACAAGGAAGCCTCCTTCCCACTTCTGCACTGAATGTGTTCTCTGGCATATCTGCAGACACCAGGAAAACCAGCAGCTTGTTTTAGAGATTAGACTTGCAAAGACTGGTCTTCATTCTTCATTATATTTTCGCCTTACTACATTTTTTAGCTATGATCACCTCTAAGATTGTCTGAACATAAAGTTCCTTGGAATTGTACTGTATACCAAGAGAGAGAGATAACCAGGTATCTGGGTTACCTGATGATTTCCATACTGAAATCTTTCTCTTCTTAGTCAAGACTAAGGATAAAGACATCCCATGATTTTTATTTATTGCACTTTTCTACTCATGAGATGTACACCAGGCTTCTACTAAGTTCAGATAAAATGCATTGCCAAAGAGAATCTGAAACCTGTATTCTGAAGTACACGCTTTAGTAGATATGTTCACTCCATGAATATGAATATTAGAAGGTTGTTAACTTATTATGGACAAAGAACACTGGAATTGTTGTTCTGAAGTGAGAATATTATACAGACATTATATGCAGTCAACTCTTGTTTATCTGTAGTTGGCTTATCACTGAGGGGATAGCCACCACTCACTTCAGGTATCAAATAGTGCATGACAGAAAATTCGTTGTCTTGGAACAAGGCCTCACTGCCTATTGTTTTTCAAAGCTGTTTCTGGTCTTACCAGGAAATGTACCTGCATGCTTTTCAAAGTGGATACACTAAATATGCTTGGGTAGCTTAATTTACATATATTTTATAATACCTTTTTTTATTATTATTATTTATCTGCATTATCCTACTCTGTCATTAATCTGTGCAGTTGAAAATTGTGCAATTGTGCTTGCATTTTTGCAAGAAGATGTATATAGCTGTAATAAAAATAGGATAAAAAGAAAAAAGAATCAAAACTTGGTATATGTATTTGTATAATGAGGTACCACTTAGCATAAGGTGTTTGATTGACATACACCTTGAAAGAAATAAGATGTAACCCCTAAACATTTGTTTTTCTCTTAATCCTATCAGGTGTGATGCAAATCTACATCCTGCAAGCCCTAACATGATCTGAACTGGAATTGGGGATGCAAAATGTTTTTCATCCTCTCTTCAGTTTGGAAGGACATGACAGGATAATACAGTAATACTCACAGGAATGATAATGCAATGCATTTTCCAGTATTTGTGGTTTGGAGGCTTTTCTCTGGCACCAAGGTGTACTAACAATACAAACGTTAAGTATATTTTCATTGTGTCTAATTACAACTGCACCACCAAAGAACTATGCTGGCATTTTTGTGCATCTATCACCTAATGTATCTTTACGAGCAACTCTGTATATGTTTCTGCAATGATTAACAGTTACCCAAGCTGCAAAAGAGGTCTCCTGAAAAGACTCCTGAATTATGTATTAACATTTAGGATAACAGTTATTTAAACCATTCTCCATGCTACAGAGCTAGCTGCATGTGCAAAATGCATACTGACATATATTACAAGTACAAACTCACATTCTTTTTATAGCCCACAAAAGAACACAGTTCTGGCTAATAATCAATCCCAACAGCTAACTGAAAAGTAGGAATTGTGTATATGTTTGATCTTGTCCATTTAGAAAATAATTTTGATAAGTGCAAATTTGAGACTGAAGAAATGAAGCAAGGGGGAAGGTTGGCACTGTGCAAGTTAAATACCACCTACTTTGTGTATTTGTCCAACATTTTAGACATATCCCCACATTAGAACAAATAGACACACCTACATGCATGCTCATGTAGGTGTGTCTAACACTTTTCTTTTTAAACAGAAAGAAAAACAAATGCCCTGCACAACTAGAAGTGCATGCATCTAGAAGCTACAGGCCCAAAGCTGGCAACACCAGAAGGAATGACCTAGGATGTATGTCTGGTAAAGCCAAAAGAGAACCACCACCCAAATAGCACCACAACCACCTGAACATCTTACTGCCGCATCTGATTTTCCAGTGATGAGATCACCTCTCAGAACTCTTGCCCTTTTCTCTCAAATATGTGTACAAGAGAGGACGGCTGCTTATCAACACTGTTTTTTTGCTGTGTCTACATTCTTCTGCTGTTATTAAGTGTAAGACTCCTTTCCCAAAATCTGAAAAGGCCTTTCAAGAATTTATGAGATCTGTTCATTAACCTCCACCCAAATAACATTATATTAAATACATAGCCATATTACTATTTTTATTTAATGTAAGGCCCTTCACCATACACTGTCCCTCTTTTCTCTCAGCTGAAGGTGCACAACCAGCTAAAAATTTTGTTAACATCAGAGGTTGAGTAAGATTTAGGATTGCATTAGTGCTAATTGCCTTAAAAGAAGGACAAAGCATCAACATAATCTGGAAACAAAGATACAAATGAAAGAAACATCGATGCATTGCTATTGAGCTGTCCTCTGGCAGATGAGAACAAAACTAATCTCTGCAAGCATTTAAGCAGACACATGGCATCTTTTACTGGCTTCAAACCAAGGCACTTCCTTTAAAGGATACTATGAAAAGTTGGGTATTAATTAAGACTTCATTATTTTCTTTGTTGTACTTAATTTTCTTTGAAATTTATCCTAACATGGACATGCGCTAGGCACTCACTGCACAAAATGTTTTCTTGTTTTACTAGTATGTTGTGTTTGCAGATAGGTTTTACGAAAACTGGGCTTCTTATTGCAGGAAACCCCTGCTCATATTAGTTTCAGAAAAAAAAAAAATGTTGTTGAGGGACAAGTGAATAACTCGTGCACGTAAGCCATTTTTTGTGTACTACTTTTTTCATTTTAAGTTTTAAATAAATACATTAGAAGACCAAAATGTACTTACCTGCTTTGTTTATATCAAGCTCTGATAACTTTAAGGCTAGTTCACTAGAGTTCCCACCTGGAGAGGACACAAGTATGTCATGTAGTGCATTTCTTCTACCTGTTCTTCCTGAAGCAATAAAGTCTGCATATGTAGATTCCACATCAGTCATTGCTAACAAATATCCACATAGCAGTACCTGGATGAGAGAAAAGGAAACACCAACACTCAGAACACCAGAAAAACAGATGGTATGAAAGGAGAATAGAAGAACTAGAGGGGTCTCATTGTGGAATAGACTGGGCATATGCAGTAATCAGAAAAAGGAGATGCCTCAATCTAAACATTTGGAGAAACTACAGCAGAAACAGAATGAAAAGAAAAAAACATCTGTGGATTTTATACAGTCTGTATTCAGCAGTACTTTAAACAACTTCATTTATCATACTTCATAAAACACTGGTGAGTACTTTATAAAAGCAATGACCTCAGCAACATAATTTCTCTATAGAGCTGTCTCTGCTTTTAATATTAGCTGGGAACTAGGAGGTAGGTAGGGGGTGGAACAAAGTTCTTTTCTGCACAAAAGCAAAGCATAAGGATTAAGAAAGTACAGATCAGTAACACTTTGCACATAGACCTGCATGCTAGTGCACAGGCACACAGATGTTTTGTGCATTTTCCTTTCCTGTAGTATAGTTAATTTCAGCATTGTACATACACCCCTTCAGACTCAACGAATTTATTTTTGTGTGGTTGCTGCAGCAAGGTGCAGGTATTACCGTAAGGTCACTGAAATGAGTACAGACAGGCTTATCAAGTGCAAGAAGAGCTAAACTAATGCAGGATTAAAAAGCTAGGCTCTGTAACCTAGCTATAGCTCAGAACCCTTTTTCCATTGGAAAATAAATATTTCTCATGTCATTACGGAATAATGTGATGATATGCCTTCATGTGAGCTCTGCCAAAGATACAAGGAAGCTTGTGTTTCACCCTCAGTAAGAGAAGGATATGTATCCCTGCCGGAACATCTGCTATAGCTCTAACCTGCTACATTTATTTATTTATTTATTTTATTTTTACCCCCAAATTATAGAAGCATAACTATAAACCTTGCAGGGGGAACACTCTCTTTTGCTGATCCCACTTTTACTGTTAGCTCCATTTGCATTCATCTAAGGCTTTCTGCAAAAAAATAGATTACCATGCTTCAAATGCAACATCCCTCACATTTTATGTTTGGATGTAGGAGGGAGATCAGGGAAGCTTTCTGGTAGCGCAGTACTCTGAAGAAAAGCAGCACTAGGGAACCATGGAACAGAAGCAGCACCCCCACAGCTATATGCTGCCTTCATTTCTAAGCAGTACTTCTCTGTTTTTTTTGTACTGCAGAGAGAGAAAATGGCCATAAGGGAAACACTGCATGCAACTGCATGCAGTGAGAAGGCTTAGCTGTTAGTTCCAGAGAAGCTTAATATTTACATTTGCATAGAGTGTACAAATGTTTTTATCCAGATCCTACTATATGCACTCACTGGACACTGAAGAAGCCCCTAAGTCATCAAACACTAGCAGCAGCAAAAGATTTGACTTTCTTTAAATAAAAAGACAACTTTTTTTTTTTTGCACTCTTGTTTAAATAGATACATGACAACAGCCAACTCATTCCCACACTTAGTTCTGAACAATCTTCACAAATTCTGTCCATTCTTCATCCTCATGCTATTCCTTACCTCCCCAACTTCAGTCAGCTGTCTGAGGGTGTACAAAGGAGTTGTCTGAGAAGTCAAAAAAGGATTCTAAACCGTATTTTATTTAGACTAAATATAACTATATCATATATCATTGCAAGAATGATGTATTTAAAAAGAAGTTTGGGGCCTATCATGCTTTGGTGTCCCATGTCAAACACTGGATGGTCAATGGGATAATTTTTCTCCTATGAACAATCAGTATGAAACAGGAAACTACTTTAAAAAAATAAAAAGCTAAAACCTAACAACAAGCATCCAGGGAAGTGAAAGAGGTCAGCATTGACTGAAAGCATGCCTGACAAACATAAAACGGTGTGGCGCCTCTCAATTAACAAATGCCTTCATGAGCATGAGAGTATGCACATTTCTTCCTGTGCAGTGCTCCCTTTTTGAAACACTGCAAGAATACTGAAGGAAATGAGACATCTACCATTTGTTCTTCCCCCGAGGCGCAGCAGACACCAAATATATCAACGACGGGGTAATGAAGCACATAACATCCAAAAGTGAAGAGTAACAGTGAGGACCTGTTCCCTGAAAAATATCGTCCAGCAAGATCAGAATGCAAAAGGTCTGAAGTGAAACTTACTGGAGTTATCTTTGCTCATTCCTGCTATTGCAGTGGGCTTGCAGAAAAGGCGGTACAAGACCTACAAGTCAGCAGTGTGCAGCTTGGATTTTGTCAGTAGTAATAGCATGAGTCCAAAGTCATCACTGCTACCACTCCTGCCAAGTTACTGATTTCATTTAGTGAGGGCGAAAAATAAACAAACAAAAAAAATAGAAAGAAAGAAACAAGACGAAATCCAAACCAAACTAACCAAACAGACCCACCACAGAAGAATATTCTTTCATAACTTTGGCAGCCGCGTATCAGCACATCAGGAACAGAATGAGCAGAGAAGTCTATGGCTGAGATGAAACAGGCTATACAGCTGTAAGGGCAGCAAAATGAGGAATTCTGTACTCTGTGAGCAATTCCCTGGACTGTACAAACTTTGCACTGCACAGAATACTCTTCAGAGAGATTATATTCTTCATGAAACACTCCATAAAACAAAGAGAGCACCTGGGGAATTCTCAGGCTTGCTAATTTAATTTTAGCTATGAAACAAGCTTTAAAGCTATGCAAAAATGTGCTTGCAAAGAACCTTTATTTTAAAGGCTTGTTTTCTATAGGCTCAATATGGCATTACTAACAACATTCAGATCAAAAAAATAATGTTACCAAACACACATTTATTAACACTTCCAAGTTTTCCTGTCTGCATCTTCTCTTAAATGTCAAACACCATTCTGTTATGTATTGGCATTATCTTGAGACATTACTGCATAAATATGGAACTCCACTGACATCAGCCGAGAGCTCCCCTTCCAGTGAATGGCGCAATGCCCAGCAGTCTCTAATACATTCACTGAACCAGTCATTAAGGAATTACCATTCACTCCAAAAAACCTTTTTTGTTTATTCTCTGTGGAAGGAACAGAGTTTGCTAATAATTCTGTGAAACGTAATTTGAATTTCCTAATTGTATTGACAGATACTCCTGTGTAAAAGATTGTGGTCCTGGTCCTGTTATTTCTAGTATTTATTTACTTGAAGTTGTAAAAACAGTATTTTCCTGCATGGTATTGAACTGAAACAAGAAGGCTGCAAACTTTACCGCTTCTGCCAACTGAACCAGCAAGCTAAAGAAAGCAGGAACTAGAACAAGAAAGCAGTTGTGTGAGCATAAAAATTAATGAAACCTGCTACCACAGGGTTGGAAAACGTGGTGAGCGGTAAGATACCATCTGAAGTCTGCCACAGCTGTGCTTTCCCTTTCCCCCAGCGTTCTGCATGACAAAATTTTAGAATTTGAACTGCAGCACTGGAGATTTTCATATAGTATCCTTCTTTTCCTCAGCTTCCTAGTTTCACAAAACTTTAGAAATATGTGTATCTTTGACTTCTGTCAAAAGGAAGTTGTGTTGAAAATTTCTTGCAGGCTCTTAAACAATTATAGAGGATGAGGAAGGGGAAGAAAATTAACAGGCATAGCATGATCACAGGAGACTTGCTGTCTTGGATTTTAGCCCGTGTAATAAGATATCTGTTATTTTTAAAAATAACAAGTAAACCTGCAAAGGACATACTTCTACATTCTACGAATGTGAATGTATAGCTTTTACTGGTAAGTATCATGAGGAGTGGAATTAGTAACCGGAGAACTTGGGAGGAGTAAGGAAGGATGACAAAACCAGTGTAATTTAATACACACAGAAAGAATCAGAATTTGTGTTTTCAGAAAGCTCCCTGAACACTCCACAATCCAACTCCTGTGTTAAGTTTTCCATTTCCATGCTATATATAACACATCCACCAAGTTTCTTAAGGTAACTGTCAAATTTCTGCAGCTGTTTTCCTTCTTCTATGTACTTCAGCTCTGTTGAAAGAACAGTCAAATCTAAAATTTAGTGATAGCTTTCACAAATTAAATCCCAGTTTGACTAGATCCCATAGTAACTCAATGAAACAAGGTTTTACATGGTGACATTGTTATCAAGAGTTTTGAAGTGAAAGAATTATGTGAGATAGCAACATAAATTAAAATAGAGCCTCTGTAGTTTGTGGGCTATAGGTACCTAGTGTGGTTGAATTTTAATACTTTTAAAGGACTAACTACCTAGAAGAACTACAAATGCATTTAATAGAAAAATATAAATTAGCAAGGATATTTTATTTTAAAAAGAATGACAGTAAGAATGAGCATTTGACACATGGCTTGTCTAGAGGATTGTCATATATTGCCCGCTAGCATAGGGGAGCTGCCATTTTCTTGGTGAAGCTGCAGTGTAAGACTAAGAGGTACAATCCTTCAACGTTTACTCCTCCTCTTTCTCCATACATGCTTAATGATGGGGTTGAATAAGGGATTTTCAAATAAAACTCTCTCAGGCTTTGGCTGCTAAATGTTGTATCACGATCAGCACACTATTTAAATGTAATTATCTATATTCAGCTTTCATAAGAGAACAAAAAAAGCCAAGAGAACTTGTCATTTAATAGCATGTCTGTTTTAGAGAAGGTGTATAATTATGCTTTTAAAATAAATTTTGGTTCCAAATCTAGCCTTAGCTTAGAGACAGGGCTCTTTCCAGTGAGGAGATAGCTCTAATCCCCATAATCCCCAGCACCTTGCACACTAAGATTCCCATCTAATTCACGGCCTGCTATGTTGAAAGCAAATGAAACAGAGCAACAATTAAATAGAAGTACACTTTTTCCATGAGAGTTTATATATCTTGCTATAGAAGAGCACTGTTTTTGCACAGACACACAGTTGAGCGATCAGTGTTAACTCTCGAAAGCTAAAAAAACTTTTAGTCTGAGGGGTATCACGTAAAGGAAATATGAATTTCCATGCCACCTCATGAGCATCTCTTGAAGTTTCCCTTGAATTTC